CTGATCACTGAAGCATGGATCATACTACCTTAAAAACTGTTCTCTGTGAGATGCTCGCAGCAGCGAACATCCTCGCTCCACATCAGAGAGCAGCAAAGTGATCGCGGGGACTCACGCTCGAAAACAACCAAACCAGGACTAAACCAGGACTAAACCAGGACTAAACCAGGACTAAACCAGGACTAAACCAGGGCTGAGGACGGGGTCAGTGCTTGTAAACATACGTCTTACTCTTTACTCTGAGTGTCTTCTATGACTGTAAAAGTGCTGTTACCGGCGTCTGCATCAGAACTCCGCCCACTTCTGTGTTTTTCCCCAACGCAGGACAGGACGTAAGAGACACACATGTTTGGAATGTTACGAATGTGATTGATAACGCAGATGTGTGGATGCAAATTATTTTATAAACTGAGGAGGGGAAATATTTGGATTGTTAAAAACCAGGCATGGCACATGGACATGGCACCACAGTCAAATGACATCTGTGTTTTACTCAGTAATGTTTTACTGACACTTAGGAGACTGCACATCTGTGTTTTACTCAGTAATGTTTTACTGACACTTAGGAGACTGCACATCTGTGTTTTACTCTGTAATGTTTTACTGACACTTAGGTGACTGCACATCTGTGTTTTACTCAGTAATGTTTTACTGACACTTAGGAGACTGCACATGTGTGTTTTACTCTGTAATGTTTTACTGACACTTAGGAGACTGCACATCTGTGTTTTACTCTGTAATGTTTTACTGACACTTAGGAGACTGCACATGTGTGTTTTACTCTGTAATGTTTTACTGACACTTAGGTGACTGCACATGTGTGTTTTACTCTGTAATGTTTTACTGACACTTAGGTGACTGCACATCTGTGTTTTACTCAGTAATGTTTTACTGACACTTAGGAGACTGCACATGTGTGTTTTACTCAGTAATGTTTTACTGATACTTAGGAGACTGCACATCTGTGTTTTACTCTGTAATGTTTTACTGACACTTAGGTGACTGCACATGTGTGTTTTACTCTGTAATGTTTTACTGACACTTAGGAGACTGCACATGTGTGTTTTACTCTGTAATGTTTTACTGACACTTAGGTGACTGCACATGTGTGTTTTACTCTGTAATGTTTTACTGACACTTAGGAGACTGCACATCTGTGTTTTACTCTGTAATGTTTTACTGACACTTAGGAGACTGCACATGTGTGTTTTACTCTGTAATGTTTTACTGACACTTAGGTGACTGCACATGTGTGTTTTACTCAGTAATGTTTTACTGACACTTAGGTGACTGCACATGTGTGTTTTACTCAGTAATGTTTTACTGACACTGAGGTGACTGCACGTGTGTGTTTTACTCAGTAATGTTTTACTGACACTTAGGTGACTGCACATGTGTGTTTTACTCAGTAATGTTTTACTGACACTTAGGTGACTGCACATGTGTGTTTTACTCAGTAATGTTTTACTGACACTTAGGTGACTGCACATCTGTGTTTTACTCTGTAATGTTTTACTGACACTTAGGTGACTGCACATGTGTGTTTTACTCAGTAATGTTTTACTGACACTGAGGTGACTGCACATGTGTGTTTTACTCTGTAATGTTTTACTGACACTTAGGAGACTGCACATCTGTGTTTTACTCAGTAATGTTTTACTGACACTCAGGTGACTGCACATGTGTGTTTTACTCAGTAATGTTTTACTGACACTTAGGTGACTGCACATGTGTGTTTTACTCTGTAATGTTTTACTGACACTTAGGTGACTGCACATGTGTGTTTTACTCTGTAATGTTTTACTGACACTTAGGTGACTGCACATGTGTGTTTTACTCAGTAATGTTTTACTGACACTTAGGTGACTGCACATCTGTGTTTTACTCAGTAATGTTTTACTGACACTTAGGTGACTGCACATGTGTGTTTTACTCAGTAATGTTTTACTGACACTTAGGTGACTGCACATCTGTGTTTTACTCAGTAATGTTTTACTGACACTTAGGTGACTGCACATGTGTGTTTTACTCTGTAATGTTTTACTGACACTTAGGTGACTGCACATGTGTGTTTTACTCTGTAATGTTTTACTGACACTTAGGTGACTGCACATGTGTGTTTTACTCAGTAATGTTTTACTGACACTTAGGAGACTGCACATGTGTGTTTTACTCAGTAATGTTTTACTGACACTTAGGAGACTGCACATGTGTGTTTTACTCAGTAATGTTTTACTGACACTTAGGAGACTGCACATCTGTGTTTTACTCTGTAATGTTTTACTGACACTTAGGTGACTGCACATGTGTGTTTTACTCTGTAATGTTTTACTGACACTTAGGTGACTGCACATGTGTGTTTTACTCAGTAATGTTTTACTGACACTTAGGTGACTGCACATCTGTGTTTTACTCAGTAATGTTTTACTGACACTTAGGTGACTGCACATGTGTGTTTTACTCAGTAATGTTTTACTGACACTTAGGTGACTGCACATGC